AAAGTTTTGTTAATCAAAAAACTTAAATATCAATTGATATGGATAATCACTAAAAATGTTAACATTTTAGAAATGGTTAAATTGAGAATGGACGATCAAAACAAATCGCACGTTTTAACTTCATTAAATTCAACTTTTAAAGACATAAACATTGCATCAAAGTTATATAATTGAATCATTTCAATGTAAACAAAAAAAAAGTGAATCCATCAAAAGTTTCATTGCCCATCTCATTTGAGAATACTTAAATGAACAATAATGTTAAATCACTACTATTATACTGCGGAGAAAGGATCATTGATTAAAATTAAAAAAGAATTGAAACCTGTCATGTGCTTATTAGACATTCTGCTCGAATTTTAATAAAATTTTTATTCAAATAATATTTCAAAATTGCAGGTGTTTAAATAAATGTAATGTAATTGGATGAACAATGTAGAGAGCAAATTAACTGAATTATTAAGACATTTTCAATTAAATAAAACGGTAACATTTCAAATTAAATAGAATTTACAAAAATACAAATCCTTACTTCTGTAGCAGTTTGTTATTTGCTGACCATTGGCTATTTTTTTAAGACAAAATACTAACTATTATTGGTCAATATTTATGTAAGATGAATTATTGCTAAACATTTGGTAATGCTTATTCTCAGAAAATGGAGAAAATATTTATTGATCACTCAATAGCCTAATTAACTGACCAGTACGGATGACATGAGATGTTGAATTGAATATTAGATGATGAACGAATGCGTCATTTCATTGATTGTCGTTTCAACATTTATTATTGGTTAATATGCGTCATCATACATTTTGTGAAATTCATAACTTTTGCTCATCCCTTTCCCGCTTTTTTAAAATTCTCATGCAATTTGTAATGAAAAGAATTAAATCAGTTTAATTCTTGCAAATTGTTCTTTCTGTTCCCTTCTCCATCCTTTGTACGATAGTGATATTATTATAGCTCTCGAGCAAGAAGAGAAGAACGAATTTTTCAGCGAAATCAGGATGAATACTATTTTGCTTCCCATATTAAGTCAATCTATTATTTTTCCAAGGTTTGTCAAAATAATAAAAGATTAACTTAATATGGGAAGCAAAAATATTTTGAAAGAAATTATGGAAAAGTTCTTCTGAAATTTTTGTAAGATTTTCAAATATATGAACCGGGTTAATTGATAATTTTAGTTTTTAACATTCGACTAACTGCTCTGAAATATTGGCAGTGAGAATTATAAAAATGAAAAATGATTATGTGCAAATTTTGATCAATTGGGTGGAACTTATGTTGAATAACGCAAAGATCTTGCATTTGACGTTGTTAGCCATTTGTTTTTTAATTGCCCGAAGAATTTCCTTCATGTTTAGAATTGGCCTCAAAATTTTCACATAAGAAAAATATATTTTACAAATAAAACAGAAGAAATGTGGAAAGGATAGATAGCACACACATAAGTGTCTCGAGGTATTCCATATAAATGGCTTGGAACTGTTGAGAAGGAAGGTCTTCAAACTTACAATTAATGCGATCAGACCTTATTTTTACAGAAGAAATTGAATGGTAGAAGTCATGGAACGAATTGATGAAGTATCAATTGATTTAAATCAATACCGTTTTAACGAAATTCATACTTTTCATCTATATCCTCTCTTAGATCCTCTTTCACCAATGTCTCCTCCCTCATCCTTTTCCTCTTTTATTCTCTTTTCACTTCCATTTTCCTTTTCTCAGTCAGTTTGCTGGTAATTAATAAAGTTCTGACTAATACTGAACATGCAAAAATATCGAAATAGGAATACCTGTATTTTTTATAGACACATATTTAGAAATATATTCAACAATCACAATAAAAAGTTTCTCCACTTAAGTGAATTCATTTGTTAACAGCATAATGATTTTCTTCTCAAATATCTTTCAAGTTAAAATGTGTAATTAGAGAATTAATCACGAAAGAAAAATAGAAATTTGTATAATTTATTATTTGAGCTTTAGAAGTAACCATTTTCCTATTTCTAAAATAAAAAAACGCATTTTAAATTATTGTCCTTCAGTGAAAATTTTTGAAAAATACATTTCTAAAGAAAGATCGCAAGAAGCTTCTTGCTTCTTGCAAAACTAAGAAAGCCATGGAATAGATAAATTATTTTTAAATAATTAAAAAAGAAATTAACGATACTGTTAATGTACAAGAATAAAATATACATGAGAATAATTTCCTTTTGACCATTTCTTAAACATTCCCGCAAATAAAAAAGAATCATTTGTAACAGTGCAGCAATAATTATTCAATAATAAAATAATAAGCTAAATTGAAGCCATGAACGATAATTTACTCTTTCCCAAAAGCAGTTTTCCAAGCAATAACTTGCTTATCAAATCCACAAGTGAACAGATCATAATTCGGATGATCGTCTGCCCAGGCAGCACAACAAACAATACGACGATGACTCTGAAAATCAACGAGGAATAAATATAAATAATAGCCAATGTAACTATATTCACAAAAAAGTGATTATTTGGATAACTTCCAAAAGAATAATAATGCAGTGATTATGGAAGATTACAGCTAAAGGAAGACAGACTGAGAAAAAAAGGAAGCTATGTGATGTAGCAACAGCATTTAAATAAAACAAAATGATTTTTCTTTCCTTCTCTCATTCATTTCCCAATCATTTTTGTTCCCAGTAAATATAATTATGAAAATTTAAACAGATGTTATATCACTTTTCTTTCACAAAGATTCAATGTGAGCGATTGCATCTCCCATATTTCTTATTTTTTCTTTTTGGTGCACTCATTTACTTCCAAATAAAAAGATTTTTGTTGAATTAACAAGAATTTCGTCATTAGGATCAATTCTAAAACTCCACTAAGTACATTATAAAAAAAAAAAGAAATTCCCTATCAAAATGATGCTATTTAACACATACGATGCTATTTAACGAATGCATTTCAACGAAACATAGAAAATCTTTAATAAAATTTTAGCAGCAGTATATCTGGTATTCATAAATATTCTTCATTCATCGAAATAATTAAATATCATGACAGCCTTACTTGTCCACTAGCACGAGGAAGTCTTGTTAATCGAACGGTATTTAAATCATACAATCGAATACTGCGATTATCTTGTGGAATGGCAACAACACTTCGAGATGAAACTGAAAGTCGATTAACTGCGCTATCCAAGCGAACAGTTACAATTGCACTACGCATGTTGCGCAGGTCCCAGACCTTAATGTTTTATATTTATAATTGATTCTTAAAAACTCGAAAATTTTTTTAATTCAGAATACTACATTGATATCTCTTAGATTTTTTTAAAAGAAAATTAACCTTGAATGATCGATCATCACTGCCCGAAACAAGTTTGTCCCCGGAAGAAAAAACAACCGATGTGACTGAACTGCAATGCAAATCGCATTAATTTCAAAGAAAATCATTATTTCATAAAAAAAATTAGAGCGAGAGAAAAAAATCATACTCGCTATGCCCTTGAAAAACTGCAACCGATTGGATTGATTCCCGGAAATCCCAAAGACGAAAAGTAGAATCGCGGCTTGCAGTAACAATCAGTTTTTGCGATGGATGAGTATTACAGTAATTCAGCTCGTCATCATGACCTATAAAATGTGCTTGCTTTTTTTTAAATAAATCTTCTTTTTCCTGTTCACTTAAAATTAAAATTAATCCATATTCACTTATATTCGCTTTCTATCAATTCGCATTTTCATAATTACTGCCTAATTTTATAGAAAGAGAAATAGAATTTTACGGAGCAGAACTAATAAAAAAGAATCGACCCGATAAAGTATTCACAATTTCCCCTCGTTCAGCATCATAAATATTAGCAGTTCTATCCCAGCTAGCTGTGATAAGTTGTTCACCACCACTGAACCACTCGACGGCCATAACTGCATTAGCATGACCAGTTAAACGTCGGAGCGGCTGCCGCACAATATTTGACGCATGAATCTCTCCACTACCTGAATATTTGAAAAAAGAAATAATGGTATAAAAACGAAACGCCATTAGTTTAAATTTCAAACGAACATCCACCTTGCATATCGTTCCCTCCATTCACTTGTTCCTTTTCAGCCAATTCATCATCCTCACTACTCACTGCAGAAAGCTGGGTATTGCCTAAAATATTTATTTTATATAAAAATAGTTTCATATTGACAAACATTAAAATCAGCACAATAAATAGTAAAAAAGAATGATTGGTAAACAAACTTGTAATTATGACAAATAGGGAACATTAATAGTCAATGTTAATGTTAATTTTTGAATATACTAACACTTTGAAATATTAGCATTCTGGCTTGTGTTTATATGATCATTAGATAAATGAAATTAACTTCAAATGTCTCAAACCATTGAATGAATATATATATATGTATATATATTTGCCTATTGATTTTATTTATTTTGTTTATTTATTTGTTTGTTTATTTATTTATTTATTTATTT